CTCTCTCTCTCTCTCTCTCTCTCTCTCTCTCTCTCTCTCTCTCTCTCTCTCTCTCTCTCTCTCTCTCTCTCTCCCTTTAGCCCTTCGTGACCGCGTTGCGCTTTTCCGCGCCCTCACCCCAACATAACTTCGACTTGCCCATTCCGTGCCCTTCCTCTCTACCGACTATACCTATCAAACTTTTGCCTCCCGCTCCATCTCCTCTCTCTGTACCCTCCTTCCTCGATCGATCTCCCTGTACCTGTTTGTTCTCTCTCTCTCTCTCTCTCTCTCTCTCTCTCTCTCGCGCGCGCGCGCGCGCGCGCGCGCCTGAACTGCGTATACGCTATGCACGCCCATCCCCACACATTTCTCTTGATCTATAAACAACCTAAATGACAGAGTGATGGCGATAAATAATATATATCGTCACATGAATATGAGAGCGCAAAAGCGAAAAAAACAGAAGAAAACAACAAAAAAAAAATCGTTTTTTTTATCTTCTTTCTTACAAGACTCCCCCTGTTCAGAACCTCTTGCGTACAAGGCCGCCCACGTGGATGTGAGTTGAGCGGCGGCTGCCCCCACCCCCGTGTGTCATATCGACCCACTTGCAGACAGCCAAAGGGCAAAGAGGCAAAGAAAAGAGGAAGGGAACAGCCAAATACAACAAAACAGGGGGCAACAAGCAATATCACCAAACACGGATCCTGGATGGCAAGTCCCACATGCAAGCACCGCCCCTCCTTCACAGGCCAAACGACAGGACAAGACCACCCAGGACAAAACTCTTGTCTGCAAGAAAAGAGAAATCCCAGCTTACATACACATATATACAGCAGATGGCCTTATTCGTCATCAAGACGTAGGGCGGTATTCCCATTAGTAAACCGTTCTTACTGGGACAAAAAACATAAAATAGAATCCCAGATGATGATTCCCACATAAAAGCACCGCCCCCTCTCACAGGCCGAACGACGGGAAGCCACCAACTAGGATACACACCCAATCCACTAACAGACGATTATCGTTAGTACTAGTAATTTGGTTGACGCCGCTAGGTATTAACGATAATCGTCTGTCAGTGAGCACCGCACCCTCCACGCGGCGGTGAAGGTCAAGTTCCCTCACAGATAAACCCACTTCATGGACTTCAGCAAAGGCACAAAGCGGTGACCAAGGAGCAAGGGAAGATGGCGCGCTCGGTACCGATAAGGATTTGCACTACTTAGGGAAGGAGGAGGAGGAGGAGGAGGAGGAGGAGAAGAGTTTTTCGACCTATTTTTAAAAAAAAACACGAAACCGGAGCGGTGAAAATTGCGTAGGAGGTGGTCGCGCACCGTGTCCACATACGTTTTGTATAAGAAGGCCAAACTTTAAATTACGTTGACAACTTGACAGCAGGATGCCGTCCACAATTAAAAATATATATATATTATCAATAGAATTACAATTATATTGAAAGTCCGATGAAATTTTCGAGCAGAGAAGATGTAAACCCGACTGACGATGTTTTGGACAAAATCGCCCTGGGGTTGTGGCATCCGTTCACATCTCCTGAAACGGAACCCATTAGTCAGCCATTAGATACAGCCACATCAGATAAGACATCTTGCGCCACGTGGCAGAGAAAGTATCATCATTTTTTAATTAAGAATAAGAAGAAAAAGATCTTCCTTACCTCCAAGGCAATGCCTGCAGTGGTCAGAAACGACAAGGTCAAATAAGACCTCGTTATCACCGGCATCTGCTTGTACCAATCTTCCAACGTCTGAGCCATCTCTCTCTCTCTCTCTCTCTCTCTCTCTCTCTCTCTCTCTCTCTCTCTCTCTCACACACACACACACACACACACACGTATGTATGTATGTATGGACGTGCGCGCGTTCGTGATGTCTGTCAAGTTACAGCTCACACCGCGCTTGATTTTAGTATCAGTGCGCGCGAGTGTGTGCGCAGGCCTGTGCCTCTGGTCCAATACCTCAACACCCCCCCCACCCACCCGCCCCCTTCCCCCACCGCGCCTTCCGCCGCGCTTATGACCTCCTTGCCTCAAACGCGCCCGCCCCCGAGAACCCCGCTGCAGTCTCCTTTGATGATATCTTCCTTCTCTACACACCTTTTCCCCCTTTCCACGTCTATTTCCCCTGTCCGCCTGCCACGTCAGCCGCCCCCCTCGATTGCCACTTAGGGCCGAAGAGACATCGTAGCTCAACGTGCCAGCTCCGCTCCAATTACCCACTAAGGGGGTCAAGCGCACGCGCACTCCCGCTCCACCGTCAGTGCCCCTTCTTTCTCTCCCCCGCCATCGCGCCTCACTCTCTACATAACGCCCTCATTCCACCTCCCCCGCGCCCTCCCGCGACCGTCCCCACTCGCGGAGACCGAATCGCTTGCAATGCCCACTTCCACGGCGACCAGAGACACTGCTACCGGTCGGCCGACTGCAGGCGACTTCAGCTGATTGACCACAGCTCCCAATCAATCAACCAACCAACCAATCAACCCTCCACGTACACGATCACCCAACCAATCAACCAATCAAGTCATTCTTCGAGTGCTTCACACATCACCAATCCATCTCTCGGACCAAGATTCCCCACCGTCCAAACTAATCGGGGGCAAGGTCCCACTTGCACGGATTAAGAGAATCTGGCCGTTGATCTTTGCTATCTACGGTCAATATCGCTTAATAATTCGTGTATGTAAGTGGGACCTAGCCCCGCATTCTCCAGGAGGAGGCCGCGCGTAGGGAGGCAGCGCGTAGACGTCCGCCGCGACTGTGATAGGTCTGGATACGGCCTGTCCCCGCCGGATGAGCCCGCGTGGTCCCGACCTAACTCTCATTCGATCGGGGACCTACCGGTAGTCCGCCCCGACGACCCCTTACCTGACTGACTACCTCGATCCGCCCGCGCGGCCCGCGGCCTGCTGTGGCCCCCGTACTCGGCGGAAGGACTGGACTCCGCCTTGGTGACACGAAAGCGCGCACCTTTTCCTCCTCGTCAACTGGCTCGCGCACCGTCTTGCCTGCCAGGGAAGTGCGTCCTGTCCTCCCCGGGGACCAGGTCCCACTTGCGCAAATTAGGAGATTTGGGCCGTTGATCTTTGCTATCTACGGTCAGTATCTCTTAATCAGTGCAAGTGGGACCTAGCCCCGGAAGCTACAGGTAGGTCCAACTTGCACGAATTAAGAAATATTGACTGTAGATAGCAAAGATCGACGGCCCAAATCTCCTAATTTGCGCAAGTGGGACCTTGCCGCGCGGCGAGGTCCCATTAGGAAAGAGGATTGGATGGAACGCCTGAATCTAGACGTGTTACAAGCACATGCAGAAAAGCAGTTCAATCTCGATTTTGTGCACCTTTCCACAAACACGTCCAGATTCAGGATTTCAATCCAATCCTCGCCCCGCCAACTGGTAGCCTCCTGCCGCTTCTGTTTTGTTTTGTTTTGTTTTCTGTTTTTTTTTTTTTTTTTGCTCCTTGCGTCTCCGGCGCTACGACCTGGGGCCAAGTCCCACTACCGGTAGCAGCATGGACGAAACTCAACGCCTGAATCTGGACCTCTTTGTGCAGGGGTGCCGTTGAGGAAACTCAACACGATTTTCTGCACATATTCATAACCTCGTCCACATTCGGGCGTTGAGAAAACTCAACGCAAGATGCTACCGGTAGTCGGACGACGCCCCTGAAGGTTCCCCGTCCCGCGACCGCGCCTAAGGGTCAGAGACCGTTAGTGCTAAGGTTCATGCCAGAAAAGTACGTCGACATTTTTCAGTGCTAGAAAAGTACGTCGACATTTGTCAGTGCTAGAAAAGTACGTCGACATTTTTCAGTGCTAGAGAAGTACGTCGACATTTTAGCCACCATGGTCATGCTTCCGGCGTGGCCTTTTTTTTGGGAACTGGCCCGAGGACTACCGGTAGAGGCCTCGCCACACCACTTTTGGCGCATCTGGCCATGCTCCAGCGAGAAGTTCATTCTCATTTTGCACTTTTCGAGAGTGGTGTGGCGATGCCCTAAAGACAGACCACCAGCTGCCGAGCGGAACAGAGGAGAGCGTCCTCAGGTAGCGCTGCGACCTCGGCCTGCGACCTGCGACCAGAGCTGGACGCAGATGTTGGTCTGGGCCCTACTACCGTAGAGGTAATGCGGTTGTGCTACCGGTAGTCTATGTGGCTCGAAGCCTCGAACCTATTGATGGTGAAGAGCACGAACCTACTGCCGGTACTCCGCGTCGCATTTGACACGGGAGGCGCGGGCCTATTCATGGTGATAGTGATACACCACTCTCGAATCTCGAAAATTCGTGAGTGGGGCACCGCCACACAGCACCGCTTGAAAGAAAAACTTGGAACTGTTCGAGAGCCCAGCCTGCAGCGTTGGAGTTTTCGTGATACCGCCCGTCCGCGCTCGAGTTCTACGTCCATTTCGTTTTCGCGGGCCGCGGATAGCATCCATGCTCGAGAGGAATTTTTGAGAGGCCGGTCTAGTGTGCTATGTGGCGAAGGGCCATTTTCTCTCGAAAACCGGCCTCTCGAAAAATACTGACAGCCCTCGAATATTTTCGAGATTCGAGAGTGGTGTGGCGAGGCCCCAAATCTTCCTCGCTTTTGGCTCTCTTTACTTTTTGTTTTTTTTGGGCTCTCTTTACTAAAACCACGCGGGCCGTGGGGACGCAGCCAGAACGGCGGCGGATCAGCGATAGCACAGACAAATGTCTAAAAACGTTTGTGAGCTAACGATACAGAGAAGGGCAGCATCGCTCCTGCACAAGGATGACACGCATAAATAGAGAAATGGCAAATGAGCTATGCCAGTTGCTCGGAACGAGGTCCCGCCTAGAAGGACTTGTTCGCATTCGTAGCCCGTCAGGGGTGCGTTTTATGCCCCTGAGAACATTTTTCGTCGTCGTTCGTTATACGGTCTTTGGAAGGCTGGAAAAACAAGGCATGGCAGTTTAGGGGTTGGTGGCATCTTATTTGAAACTGCAGGACTGATAGCTGCCCGTGGGACCGCACAAGTTTAGTCCAGGACCGCGTAGGACCGGTAGCTCCGCATAGGAGGCCGAGGAGGTCGGAGTCCTTTTTCGAAATTGAAACGGTGCGGGTCCACTTTTCTCGAATAGCAGAGTTCCTCGAATAGAAAGCGGACACGTTGTATTCAAATACAACCTGTACCCTTTCTACTCGGATTTCGAAAAGAAAAAACTCTTGTATTCCGATAAAATTACTTCTTCTTTTTGTTGGAGGTCAGCGCCTGCCCTTGTGCTTCCCGCCACTGACATGCTGCATGATGCAGGTCTCTCTCTCTCTCTCTCTCTCTCTCTCTCTCTCTCTCTCTCTCTCTCTCTCTCTCTCTCTCTCTCTCTCTCTCTCTCTCTCTCTCTCNTCTCTCTCTCTCTCTCCCCCACACACACACACACACAGAGGTAAACGACCAGAGGAAAAGAGAAACGAAGAAGAGAAATAGCAGCAGCTGATTTCACAGAAAGTGCCATGTCTTTCACATCCTGTCTCACAGATTCCCCGCATCCTGTTATTCAGCTACAGGGAAGGGGAAAGAAAAAAGAAAACAGATCTCATATTGTCCATAATCATCATCCTCATTCCTCATTCCTTATTATCGACGAACAGCTGTGAACCAAGAATCTATTAACCAGATGAATCCAAACCAAAACAAAAGGAAAAAAGTTGAATCGCTATCGTTGCGCACCTCAGAACAAAGGCAAAAGAAATAACACGGTGGTTGATGTCAACAATAACCTTTTTTTTTTTTTTTTTTTTTTACAATAACCCTTTGACCATGCGTTAGAACGTATCTATGCATATATCTATATATCGTCATAAACAACTGCCCGGTGAGCAGCAGGCAGAAACAAAGAAAAGTACAACAAAAGGGGCGCGGCAGTGACAGACTGTTTCACCGAAGTTTCACCGACTCATCAGGACGCGGAACCCTATTTGTATATACATAAACATATACACATAGGCTCTCGCCGCACCACTGTCAAAACGAAAAAAGTACGCATGCATCTTCCCATAGAAAATGGCAAGATGCGTCCACCACTATGTATAGCAACGGATGCATCTTACCACTTTCTGCGGTAGATCCATTCGTTTTTTTGTGGCGAGGCCCATTCATATGTGCATACGCATAGGTTCGACGTATGCATGGTTGATGAGGAATGCATCCGTTACGATGACTAGCAACGGATGCATCTTACCACTTTCTACGGTAGATGCATTCCTTTTTTTTTTCCATTTCCACACATCCGTCACGGTGAGTATTATTAACAATTATTATTAAAAGCAATAACAACATAATAAGCAAAACAAAAGAAAGAAGGGAGAGGGGGGGGCGAGGGGGGGGGGGGACAAAAAAAAAACAAGAAGCGCAACTGAAGAGATCGACGTATAATGCACGCAGGTCAGCATCGGCTGTGGCCTTGGAGCCTCGCTCCACTGCACAACATTCGACACGAATGTGGACTGCAGCGGAGTCCAGCTACATGAGTACTGATCCGACAAATCGAATGAATCGGACCATTATTACCTCCAGATACATGTGAAGTATTGTACATAATAGAGGTGCGAAGCACAGGCTCTCGTAAGAGAGAGCTTGTGGAGTTCTGGTATTATGCACTTTGCCTACATTGGTTTTGCATCCCGCGACCCTGTCACCAGCGTTAGGAATTTCTCACAGGCAATCTTTTTTTTTTTTTTAACAAAAAAAGGGGATGAAATTTTGGACCATTTCTCGATTTATCCGTTAAAATTGGAACGATACAGAGAAGATTAGCATGGCCCCTGCGCTTTCAAGGATGACACGCATAAATCGAGAAATGGTCCAATCTTTTTTTGATAATTTGCATGATAACGTTGTGATCTATAGAATCAAAACAGTTGGTTAGGGGGGAGACCCTTATACTTGGCCATACAAGTAGAGATACAGATACAGATAGACACACAGAGAGAGAGAGAAGGTATGGAGAAACACATAAAGAGCTCGCTGCATCACTCGCCAAACGCCAACAGTTTGAATGTATAGGGACTACTTCCAGTTCAGATACATTCAGAATATGGCGCTTGGCCAATGGTGCGGCAAGGCCCTAAGACCGACAAATCGGGCCCTCCTAGAAGTACGCAGTGCGTGCGTGCGAGTGTTTGTGAGAGGGCGAGAGGGAGCAAGAGCGAGGAGAGCAATAGAGAGTACTCACTCCAAGTCTTTTTCTGTCCCCCATCTGTCACGACGATCGTCTCCACGACATGTGCCGCCATCTTCCCGAAACCTAATTTCCTCATGATTAGGGAAAATGGGAGGAGGAAGAGGGACTAAGCTAGTCGATTCCAAGAGAGCTAAGGCGTATTAGGGGAGAAGATCGGACTAAGAAGGCTGAGAGAGAGAGAGAGAGAAAAAAATGAACAGGGAAGCGAAGCAGGCACTCGGAAAAGAGAGAGGAAGAGAGAATGGAAATGAAGGGGAGGCGAAGGGCAATAAAAAAAAAAAAAAAAAAAAAAAAAAAGCAAATGTAAGGGGCGTCGAATCACGAAGACCTAAGGCGTATTAGGGGAGAAGATCGGACTAAGAAGGCTGAGAGAGAGAGAGAGAGAGAGAGAAATGAACAGGGAAGCGAAGCAGGCGCTCGAAAAAGAGTGAGGAAGAGAGAATCGAAATGAAGGGGAGGCGAAAAATCTCAAATTTAGGGCACTCCTCACTTCTTCCCCTTCCCCTTTCCCC